AAAAAACCAGACAAAAAAAAAAAAAAAAAAAAAAAAAAAAAAAAGTCTTGAACATCTGCATCTTGGCTTGGAAGAAGAAGAAATTGCACTTACCTGAGCGGCTCAGACACAGCACAAAGAGCACTAGGCAAAGCATGGGCATCACCGTGGCTTTTCCTTTAAATCTGATCTTTTGTTTTCATAAGCAAATCGGTCTTATCTTAGTAAGGGACTGAAATAATCTAGTTAGAAATCAAGGCAGACAACTGAGTCTGCAAGGCAAGACAGCACCTTTCGAGCCTTATCCTGCCTCATTATGATGCTCCGTAAATCACACTTCATTGATTTTCAGTCAGCTGTCACATCCCGTAAGCCTAAAACAGGGCTCTGGGTCCTAAACTCTGACTGATTTGTTTCTAGTGGTATTTGGGTCGTCATAGCCACTACGGTCTAGGAGTAGAAGTGAGTCAAGGTTTTTAAGGAGGAGAAATGTCTTTTACTATGCTGCCAGTTACAGCTGGGGAAAAAAACAGGCTGCAGATCAGACCCAAAGACAGATCACATGCCTGAAAGATTGTCTGTTTGCTCCAGCCATATCGGTTGGTCTAATAAAAGAGGCAGCCTCCCTACAGACCTAACTTAGCTTATTCATTTTTCATACTGCACTCGCTGTTTTACAGGTATAAAATGGATTTTGGGAGGAAAAAACAGTGAGATAAACACGGGAAAACAGGGCTGATTTCTAAATTTATATCTCATCACTCATACTCAAAACATCACAGACAACAGCACAGAAATGCTTGCACAGTACTATTTATTGGCATGGCTTAACAGAGTATCTTGCTCCAGGGCGTTGTGTTTAGCAATGAGAGTGATGGGGCCTTGGATTCGTCACTCAGTTCCTCTGCAGCTGTCACTCCTCCCCAGCGACACCTTGGGCAGGGCTCCTTTCAGAAGCTGCCAGAAATAGCTGACATCAAAAGGGATGCAGGTTCCTTTTTTCCTGTCCCCCTGCCACTCCTTTGCCCGGGGATCTCAGTATCTTCTCCGTTTTCTTCCCAAAAGAAAGTAACTTTGCCATCTCTCTCCAAAAAGGACTTCAAGGAAGAGTGTTTTAGTTTGCACCCAGACCTGAAACTCTTCCTGCTTTGGTTTATTCTTTCTGGCTATTTAATTCCTTGCTGACTTTTATATGGGATGCCTGGGTTTTTTTAGCAACAGCTGGGCCCATTTCTTGCAGTGGCCCCAGATTTTGGTATAGTCATAAGCTATGTGATTCAGATTTGCCTTATCAAAGGTCAACACAGAGGATTGATAACTGGCAGCTGTAACCTCATCAGATTATTCAGCTTCCTGTAATGAAAAAGAAGTCATTTCAGTGTGGCTTAAAGTCACATTGCTGCTACAAGTAACCTTCTTGTGTTCCCTACCACCTCATTCGTGCTGCTGTGGACTTGCAGCCTGCCTCATCCGTAGCTCTCGGGCAGGCCATCGGCAGCAGCTGAGTGGGTTTGCCTTTTCCACTACTGTACTACACGTGGGAAATCTGCGAGGGACCTCGTGAGCTCCTCGGTTTTGTCGGTGTTCACCTGACCTGGCTGGAGGAGCAGCTGGTTTCCTCTACACCTTTGCTCATCCCAGCTGCAGAAAGCAGCTCAAAAACAACAGTGCTATCGAGACTGTCTTGAGTGAAGGGTCTTGTTATCACCAGCTGCTGTCACTACCAGACTGCTCAGTTTACCCATTAGATCCAGACCAGGCATAAGCACACGACTTGTCAAGGTGCACAGTAAGGGTCCTTTTTTTAAGCTAGCCTCAAAAGAAGAGCAGACGTTTGGCTGGAGTGCTGTGGACAGACAGTGCCACAGCCCGCCTGTTGAGCGTGGACTAAACTCAATTATCCTGCCAGATGTAAATTCTTCTGCAACAAAGCTACGCCTTAAAAACATTCCGTGCAGAGTAGCCCGTGCTTTGCAGCATGTTTCTGGACCTGTACAGGGCTCAGCACTCTCAGGCACCATCCGTCATCGTTGCTGAACCACAGCTCCATGACTGCAAGCCCCAGCCTTTGCCCATTGACACCTCTGATCATAATTACTGCCCGAGATCGTGCCCAGGCACTGCGCTGTCAGACAATGCTGCATCACAGACTGGAGAGAAACTTGTTTTCATAAGGCTTTAGCCTGCAGCCTTCAGGTAATGAAGTTAATCTATTAGCTGGCTATAGAAGTAGGTTTTTTGCTACTACATGGTAGTTGTCTGGAGGGAGAGGTGATGTATGCTTGCTTTACCATTGCCTCCACCCACTGCCTAGATTGCGACAAGAGGTAAGGACATAGCTTGCCTGGTCTTTGGCCTCCAGCGTTCTCTGGCAACTGGAGGAGGGTATTGGAGAAACAAATTCTGTTTGCTTGCTGATGTTTACAAGTCTTTATTCAGCCATGCTCTCCAACATTTTGGGAAGGGAGGTATGCATGGATATTCCATTTTACCAGCCAGGCCATGAAGCATGGGGAGCATGCACCCTGAGACAGCAAATTAATTTCTGAGTAAAACTTGAATCTTGTCTATTGAGAACCTGCCTTTGCTTCTCCACAGATTTCATGGGATTTGTAAGTGACATGAGGCTGCAATTCCAGGCTGCAAAGAGCCGAGAGCTGTCTGAGCACAAGCAATGCTGGAACTGGGCCTCACTCTCTGGGCAGCTCAGACTTCTGGGGGAAAAAATAAAAAAAATCCACCTAGAGGCACAAATCCACCAGTTTAACCCCACGTGGTTAATATTAGGAGCAACTGAAAAACTTGAGGTTATGATGAAGAGTTCCAAGCCATGTTACCCGAAGGCGTCATCTGGCTGTGTGGAAAAAGCATTTTTCCAGGGAGAGGTGGCAGTGCTGGCTGCTGACCAGAGGGTGGGGAACCTGGACTGAGGGAGAAGGATGGTGGGGAGGAAAGACATGGATGGGAGATGCTGCGAACCAGAACCGAGAGACCCCATATCCAGGTCCAAGAGCCGGAGAGGGGCTTGCAGCACCACCAGGGTTGTCAGCTGCAGCGAGGAGAAAAGAGAGGCTGCAGAGGCAAGGCTGTTGCAGCAGCTACGGGGCAGAAGGCCCCTGCCGGGTGGATGTGCCTTCTCCCTCCCCAACCCACCTCAGCCTCCCTGGTCCCTGGGGCTGGTATGCCAGGAGCCAAGGGAGCATGCCTGGCATGCCAGTATTTGGGATGGAGCCGGGCTCCCCAGAGCTCCGGGGCGGGGGACTGAGTCGCCTTTGTGGTATCTCGCACTATACAGGGAGCCAGCAGGTGAACACCAGCCCCAAAGGAGTGAGGGACAGTTTCTGGAGCAAAAGTAGGGTGGGAAAGGGCAGCACTTCTGGAGCTTCTGGAGCTTTGCCCTGGTGCTTCCTCTCTTGGTCCTCTCCATCAGCAGACAACCTTCCCCATCAGCAGCTTCCTAAAACATGCATCTTCTCCTGGTAAGAGATGTTTTCAGCCCAGCTCGCCAGCAACTTTTGCAGTTCCAGGCACTTCCATGTGCCAGCGGACACAGAGTTTGCAGCCATCCATCCACCTGCTCATACCCCGCTGAAGCTTCTCGGCTCTCCTCCAGCTCCCTGTCCCCCCCAGGCACCTTCCGGCTGTCACTCCTCTTGGCTTGCTTACCGGCCCCACCGAACACAACCCCATTCAGTCTCTCCCTCCCTGCAGTTTGCCCTCCACCCCTTCCTCCTCCTCCTCCTCCTCCCCTTTCTCCTCCATGCACCCTTTTCCCACGGGGAGCTGCACCGCATCCCACCGCCCTTCATCTCTCCCGCCGTGCCACAGCAGAGCCGCCGCTTTCCTCCTCCTCTCACTCCAAGAGAAGGTCCTTTCACCTTCTCCTTGACTTTTTCCTCTCCGCTCCCCGCTGTGGACCTTTCCCTCCCTCCCCTCCCGTGCTGTTCCAGCTCCCCTGCCTGGCAGCAGCCGGGCGGTGCAGGGCCGTGATGTCTTCAGGACTCTCGGACATCCATCACCGGTCCGTCGGACTTGTTTGGGCTACAATGCAGATTACATGCCGTGTGAGCTTTATTTGGGAGCCCCGGGTAACGTCTGTAGCTTTGAAAACTCTCATGCTTTGTGTGATGCGTTTGTAGCTGGCACTCGGCACAATGTTAACTGCGGCTAGATAACGCGCTCTGAAAATACGTCAGACTTTTGCACTTGTGCGTGGACCTGTTTGTGGCAGCAATTACAGCTTGCCTCAAGAGATTTAACCTCTTTCACATAGTATTCTAGGGAAAAAAGGTCTATGTGTCAGCTAGGGCACGGCAAGGTGGGAAAGGGCTGATGGGAGCCCTTGACGGAGGCTGCCAGAACTGAACTCACTTTCAAGTTGCGCTCAGGCAGTTGTTTCAGCAGTGGCCAGGCTCTGCCAAGTACAGGGACGAGGTTTTGCAGAACAAGATGTTGTCCTGAAAAGCGGGATCTTCACCCAGTATGCAAGCCAATTCACAGAAGGTCGAGGTATTTCTTTTATCACAGGTTTGCACAAAGCTGGGAGCCAGGTGATGTCCCACGAAGCTGGCTCAGCTCCACACAAAAACTACAGCATATTTATCCTGTTACATGATTAGCAAAAAAACACCCAAATTTACACTTTTTGGTTAGTAATTACACCAGCATTTGTTACTGGTTAGTTATATTTAAATTAGCCTCACTTGCTATGTAAATTAGCACACATGCTCCTTCCAGGGGTGAGGGGGCAAGTCTTTTTGGTCTTGAATTGAGTTGGTGGTCACAATCTCCCCCTGCCGCCTTCACCTTTCCCCCAGTTACTGCTGCTTTCTGCTGACTTTACACTTCATGTGGGAACTTTCCAGCCCAATGATGTTCTGGGGTAGGATGATCCTCTTTATCCGTCTTCAGTTGCACTTCAAGGATCTTAGTAATTAGCAAGCATGCAGATTTACAAGCTCATACAATAGTACTATTGAGAGTCTAACTTTTGGTTTATCAGTTCCCTTTCTCATCACATTCTGCATTCCTTAGGTCAAGCTGCTCTTTTTATCTGAGAAAGTGGTTTCTCTCCTTCACCTGTCCATCTGTTTCTCATCTACATCAAACAGCTGCTCTAGTCCTGGGTTTCCTTGGTGCCTTCCTACCGTGACGAACTCCTT